TTCTGGACAGTGGCTGAGTTGTCCTGGCCCTGGGAGGCTGTTACTCACAGCATAGCTGGAGTGATCCCAGCCACGCCCCTGTAACAAACCTCAAACTGGCAATGAAAAGGAAGATTAATCACTGGTCACACAGGGGCAGGGAAGCTGCCTGCTTCTCTGGTTGGCTTGGGTGAAGGTAGCCAGGCAAGGCCTTCACAGTTTAGTGTACTCAAAGAGGGGTAGCCTTCCCTTTCCTATGTTCTTCTCTGATGCTGACCCACCAGTTCCCTGTAATTCCAATAGCTGATTCAAAGCCAGGCCTGATGCTGGGCTTGCCCCATCTGGAACAGCTTCTCTGGCAGTTTCTCCAATGCTGAGCCTCTCTCTGGGGGACAACAAAGCTGTGCTCTTCTTCAGCCACTGCTCTCTGTGATGGCTTCCTCTCTTTCATCCTCTGTATCCTCACAAATCTTTTCTGACACCCTGGCAGATCCAGTGATGCTACTCAAGCATTGGCAGTTCTGTGGGTGGCACATTGGCTCATTTGAAGACTCTTACCTTCATCCCAATTTAGCACCTCATTCTGAGCTATTCATTTACTTGAATTGTATTGATTGTGGCCTTCCAGATGCAGTCAGCCAGCAGCTCCACCACCCCAGCTGTGTACTGTATCCTTCACCGGGGCTCACTGAGACAGCAGGACTTCAGAGTCAGCCACTTCCTTGAATAGCTTTGAAGGCTACTTCCTTGAAGTAGCCACTTCCTTTCAGAATAGCTTTGCTTAAGCAACACATGGAAATGGTTTGGGAAGGCCCAAATTGCCATACGCCAGTGATAGCACTGCATTTGAACACTGTGTAAAGGACTTCTCCTAGACACTAGATTTGTATCTAAGCGCATGTTCTTTTCCTGGGTGTGTAGGCTATCAGGACTTTGACTAAAACACCATTTGCATCAATACAGCTCCAAGTAAGTATGTTTCAGAATGCATACAGACACATATTAGAGGGATAGTCCATAATGATGGTATTAATGTGTAAAAAAGACATACCTTGAAGGAAAACATTATTTTCAAAGGTTTAAAAAAATAAACACTTTGCACTTTATTATGCTAGTTTCTCACGTGCATGTGATCCCATTTGTATATTGTTCCCCAAAACTTACAATACAGCCATTTTTAGCTTTGAAAAGTCCCAAAACATTGCACATGTAATGCAAATGAACCCCGTTTAGGCTTGTCCTGGTCCCTTCCACTCAGATCCCTTTGTTCTTCAGCAGATGCTGACAGAGTGCTTGTTCCCTTCTGAACTTCTGACTCCTTGAAGCTCTCAGCAGGGGGCTGCCCTTCTTCCTTAGGCCTCCCCCCAGGCACCAGGCTTACAAGAACGTGCATATAACTTCAGGCAATCTTGTATATATCTGATGTCCCATATAGCTCTGTAACAGCAGTACCCTCAGTTAGTGGTATAGAGAGCCTCAGTAGATAATGAACAGTGCTGCTTATGTGAGATTTTTTTTTTTTAACTAATCTTAAATTATTTGAAACTAAGCCTTAAATTATTTGAGACTATTGATGCTAGCTGTTTATTGTTAATAATGCCAAAAGGCCAACCTAGTCAAAGGGTACTAAAACAGTGAATTGCAAAAGACTCTGACTTCACATCTAATAAGAAAAATATTTGTTTCTAGTTTCCATATGAGAAAAAATTCTAGATCCAGCAACATACAAAGACTAGCACCCATTTAGCTGCCAAGCAAAGAAAAGGAAAAAGTATACGCTTGTCTTGGCCAAAAGCCTAGTTCTTCAGAGCCTAATAATATCGCTGCTGACCTCTGTAGAGCTACAGCGTGCAGCACCAATCCTTAGCACAAATAAACCATCTTTTTGTGGTTTCTTGGAAAAACACTGCTTAAATCAGCATGTTTCAGATGACCCAACTATAAGGACACACTATCTTGCCATAGTTTAAAATTCTACAGTTGTGGACATTCGTGACAATAGAAGGGAAAGCCATGTAGTGATTGCTGTAGGTGTGACAACAGACAATCTGGCTGTTTATATTAGCCAGTTTGATGACTGGGAAACTCAACTGAACCTAGTAAACCTCCCCTTTCGACATATGAGAATAGCACATTTTACAAATGCCTTTATGCTTAGTGGCTGCATCTACAGGAGATGCTGACTGTATAGTCGTTACTGCACAGTCATTTAGTACTTGTATAAACATTGACGAACCATTTTATCATGACACTGACTGTGCAGTAGCTCATTACTACTGTGTTGTAGCATTGCATTGTTTCCTGCCACGTGATGCTACTGCGCAGTAGTAACAAGCTACTGCGCAGTCAATATCTCATGTAGATGCGGCTACCATGGCCTAATTCTATTGCAAACAATTAAAACAAGTTGCATCTACTTTCATATGCTGCAGCCTACACACTGACAGCAGCAACAGCCCCATTTGCATTCCACCCACACCTACTGCACTTCATGTGTTTGGTGCATGGCCTCAGTCAGGTTACTGAACAAATTGCACTTGAGTTTCCAGCTGTCAGTTCTATCACATCAGGTGTGAAAAAAGGTATTTATAAGGATGCTACTGACAGTTCAGCACTCCAAAGAAGTTCAGCCTGACATGTCCCTAACACCCTAGCCTGTACTGACACATTGGGAAACTTGGCTAATCCAGCCTATTTGACATTCATGATCTTGAGGCTGTAAAAAATGTCTCAGAAGTTCTGAAGCCAGCAAGACAGCCTCCATCAGTGCTTTCGACAGCCCTATAGGCAGGAGGATCTGGCAATGACCAAGTCATCCTTTTCTGCTCTACTGTAAGCAATCAAGAAACTCAAGATTTGGAGCCCTCTTGATTCACAATTCCCTTGACCAAATTAAGGAGTTTGAAGAAAAACTCAACTCTGCTCTACATGATGTATTCAAGTGGCGTTCAACCTTTTTTTTTATGAACAGGCTGAACCTTAAAATCAGAAGTGGGCTGAGGGGCAAGGGGTCTGCAGCCACACCCCCTTCAGCTGTGCAGTGAGCCCTCTTGAGCTCACCAGCATGTCAGTGCAGGTTCTGGCTAGAGCCACACTTTCATGTGGCTTCAGAGTCCAAGGCGTGAATACCGCCGATGTTCATCCTATCTTATCATCTGTTGCTGAACTCAGCAAGGGGGGACAAGAGGTAGGACCTCCAACAGGAGTCACACTGACATGCTGGGGAACTCATGCTGGCAATGGGCTGTTCACACAGGCTTGATAGGCTGCATCTGACTCGCCGGCCAAAGTTTGAGCACCACTGACATACATTGATGGCAAGATGCAGAGACTTTTGAAAAAGAAGCCTGGGTAGGAAGCACTGTTAGCTGGGAACAGTTCCTTGGACAACACTGGTCCAGAACTACCAGAACAAGTACCAGCTGTGCCAGCTTCTGCTGAGAGGTCTTTCTCTGGGTATAAACCCACCCTGACTGAAAAGCACCACAAATTAACACCAAAAAGCTTAGGAAAATGTGAGTTACCTGTTATGAAATCAAGCTATTGGACAAGCAAGTAAAAGAACATAATATACAGCTACCCCTCACTTAACGTCATAGTTACATTCTTGAAAAATGCAATTTTAAGCAAAACAATGTTAGGCGAATCCAATTACGTCACAGTAGTTACCTAATAGCAGGCAGTGGCCAAATGACGTTATAACCGAACATTGTGCGATTTTAAATGAGTATGTTCTCTAATAGATCAGCAATGTAATAATGAAACAATGTTAACTGGGTCATACCTGTAAGTGTTTCTTAAAAGGGACATGAATGTGTTTTGGACACAAGTTTTACTTGTTACATGGATGGTTACCCGAGTGAGAACTTTGAAATTTCTATTTTATGGTTTTATTTTGTGTACATTTTGAAGCTAACATAATTAAGTTTAAAGTGCACATTTATACTATTTTAAGTGCATATTTCACCATTTTAGAGCACAAATGTATCATATTTGGGGGGGGGTGCATCTCAATCCTGTATCTACTCCTTACACGTGTTCAAAGTCCCCAAGGCATATTACAATGATAGTGCTTATCAGAACATATAACACTGTGAAGCTGATAACTGGAATACTTGGGAAGCCCCATCAAACCCCATCTGTAATCACAATGATACAAGGACATGGAATACATAGCAAGAATCTAGATCGTGTTTTCTACCATTAAAATCAAGTTGAAATATAAGAGCAATTGACATAGCAATATAAGAGCAATTGACTACCACATTTACTCTCATACAACATGCATCTTTTCCAAAAAAAGAAAATTAGCCCTCCAAAAAAGCTGATTTTCTGCACCAGAACTGAAGCAGGCAACAGTTGCTAAGGAGCTGTTATGGCTACCAGGACTGTTCTTCTTTTCCCAGTGTGAGAGGGAAGGGTAGAGTGTATGACAGTTTTAACCCTTTTGTGGCCACTGCCAAATTGGCAGTGCTGTCGTTTTTGGCTCAGCTGCTACCAATTTGGCAGTGACTGTAAAAGGGTTAAATTTTAACTTTTACCTGAGTAGGGAGGTTCAGGAATCAGCCATGGGGTCAGAATTCAGCCATGACTCTGGAAAAATTTTGTTCTACATTCTGCCTTCCCGAAGCAAAGTGTGTGCCGTATCTAGGGGCATGCATATGTGAGAAACACAGTAGTTCGCTCTTTATTTAAGAGCAAATCACGGTCCCTGTGCACAGCCTGAGCAAGTGAGCCCCTATCTCTGGGAATTCTTCAAGGGCATCCTCTGAACTGCTCCCCAACACTAAAGTAACCTTCTGGTCCTGAGCCCTTTATACTTTCTGTAGTGGGGGAGACGAATGAAGGGCAATGGCTGAAGGAACTGGATGGCTGTGTGGAACACTACCAGCCATGCATACAATGAGGCTAACCTCATACAGCTATTGCTAACAGCATTAGGGTTATTACAGAAGTTTTCACAGACAGCAAAATTATGTACTAGCCATTAATGAGAGGTAGAGAAAAGCCACAAGTTCCTTAATAAAGTTTATTTAATCATAACTATGCTTAGGAAAATACACTTGTAAGGGTTAATATAATGCAATTTAGTTCAACTTTACACTACATTTTGAACAGAAGACTTGTACATATTTTAAGTAAAAACAGGACTTGTGATCTGGTTTGTTTTACATCTATTACAAATGTATAAAAGGTTGTCATGCACTATAGTAGACAGAGAGCATGAAAAAATTACCTTTGGTTTAATTCAGAAAAAAATACAAGTATTGCACTGTAAAAGCTTCAAACATGGTGCAACAAAACATCATAAAAATGTTTCTGTGCCAGCTTACAAAAGTTTGTTAGCTAATGTAATTTTAGGAAAAAGCATATGTACATGTGAAACAATTCCATTAGCTATCTGGATGAGTTAATATTGTATATAAACTGGGTATCTACAAAACCAACATTCTTGATTTTGGTTAACGTTTTTCAGCTACATTACTCTGTAGAAATAAACATTATTGGGTGCTAAATGACCTGTCAGGGCTTTTTTGCGTATTATTTTTTTTTAAGGATTTAAATTCCAGTCTAGATCATCAAAATCCAGAAACAGCAACTATAGCACAATGGATTACAAGTTCCCGGTTGTCTACTTTTGAGATTATTTCATGTGGCAGTCAGTCTGAGCATGTATTTTCACAAACATTAAGGCCCTAAACACCATGTTACTCTATATGGGATTGGCAGTGTGGGATACTGCTGTATGGGAAACCTGCAGCAATCCCTCCAATCTCAACTTAAAGGCTGAATACTGGTATAGGCACTGTTGCCAAGAGAAGGCTTTTGACAGGGAAGAAGCTAGTACTGGCATAACTGTATACAAAATAATTTAAAGTTCTTGGAAAAGAAACACAATGTTGTACATATGTTTAAAGGGAGAGTTGAGAAATACATATTCAGAACACACAAGGTTGGTTAACTATGTCTTACAGCCTATTTCAAATATTCATTAGCACTGTCTAAGCATATTGTTAGATATGAATGACACGTTACATCTTTTTCTGATTTACTTTAACATACTCTCACATTCCTATCTTTATCTATTAAAATCAAAACAGAAAAATGGGAATTCCAACATGGTTACATACTGATATCTAAGGTATTTCAGGACAGAAAGATCACATCTCTAATATATGTAATCAACATTTTTTTTTCATCCTTAAACACATTAATTTTTAGTTTCAAATCTTATGAGAAGGAATACTGCCTAATATAGGCATTATCCTTTTCAAACAGTTCTTGTGAAGGTCAAGTGTTTATGCTTGCCCATTCTCCAGCAATGTACAGCATTTTAACTTGGAGAAACATACATTAGCTTTTATGTAACAGCAGATCATTTAATTGGCATTGAGGTTACTGCTATGTTTTTACTTTTATCTCAAAAACCAAGCTAGCCCAAAAACTGTATCTGCACATTGCTAAAGTCCTTGACACCTCTCACAAGACAGCAACCGCTGTTTTTTAAAAAATATGAAGTGATCTTTTAAAACCACAACACAGCACTGGAATTCCCAGCCTCTGTTCAAATCTCTTACAAAAGATGCCAACAACTTTATATATAAGACAACATACTGTTAACAAGAAAACTGCATCTAAGACTATTACAACATGTTGTTTAGGAAGACGATTCAACTAGATTTATTTTCTTAATGTTTTAACATAAATATAGTTGCAAATTGATCTTCAGTTGACAATGATTGTCACAGCCAAGGTAAAAATTGAATGCTATCTAATCAAATACAAACTCACTATACATTATACAATTGATTTCTGCCTGGCGGGATTTTCCCCACCTCAAATCTTTGGCCTCCCAATACCAATCTCCCTCATAAGCAGAAGCAGTGTATTCACTCTGTTCTCTATTCAATCAAGTTACAATACTGCATGCCATGAAATGCAGATCCCAGAACCAACTAAAACAAGAAGCGAACAAAATAAATGCAAACTCTGCAATCCTGTCCCTCCCCACACCCCAAGGTCATATTGAGAATCCTTGCCACAAAATATCCAGGCAGATATCACCACCCAGGGGCTCTACTTGCCTGCATGACATTTTCCCCCACAACTGCTGTACAAAAAGCAGGGCAGAGAACACTCAGGGTTATAAAGCTTGAGTAGCTGTTGCTTACCCCAAGAGCCAGTTTCCCCTTGGAACTGAACATAAAATGCTCGTTCTCTTGCTGCAAAGATGAGGGTTTTTGCTTGTCTGGGTGTTTTTGGCAACTGTCTGGCCCTTAGCCAGTTTAGCGCTTGCGTGCCCCAAGAAAATAATCTGAATCTTAATCTGGATGGATCTCTGCAGTCAGAATTTCTTTATATGACTCTCTTGCATATGGGAATGAGTTTATAATCCAGCCACCAATTTATTTTCTCTTTAAGCAACCTTAGCAGGTCAGGTGACTTTAGTTAATTAAACTTGAATGAATAAGGAACAGGAATTTCAACAGTTTTTCTAACTCCAGGTTTGTTGCTTACTAGCCTTTTTGATGCGTGGGATTATGGATGATCCACATTTATGCCCGTGCTACAATTTGTTCTCTTCAGGAAGACTGAGTTACTCACATTGAAATGAAAAGGAAAAAATGAATCAGGGTTTGCAGAAGTATGCAGGCCATTTCCCCCTACACTGAATATTTCACTTTATGGTAATCAAAAGTTATAAATGAATTAAAATTAATACTCAGTTTACATATTACAATACCAGAAGTGGCAATTCCATGAAAAAATACAATGAAAATGTCATGAGTGTGATTACTGAAAATAGTGTTTTGAACTTGTATCGACATCCTTTTGCCACCAAACTATACAATTTTAAAGCTACTTAAAAATAACCAAACTGTATATAATTTTAGCAACTTCATGCACAATCAATAATACCCCATGAAAACAAGAAAAACAACAGCAAAGATTATCACAAAAACTGGCCCAGGGTAAGCAACGAATCTGAAAATTTTGAAAAAAGGGGGGAAACAGAGACATGAACAAAACCAAACACGTGTGTGTGTGTGTGTGTGTGTACACACACACACACACACACACACACACACCCCCCCCAAACTCTATTCCTAAAGAATTAAAAAATGCATAGGTAAGAATCAAAAACAATGTGCAATATATTAAGCCCTTAAAGCACAATCAAAAGAAGAAAAACAATCCCGCAACTTGCTCTCCCACAACAACGCCAAAGACACGCTACAGTTACTACTTTATATATTTACCAAGATACAAGTTCTCCAATCAAAAACTGGAAATATTCCTTCCAAATTTTGGCTTACTGCTCACGATTAGGGGATCTGAAATGTATGTTCAGAATTATAATTATCTTCAAATGATTACATTTCTCTCTAACCAACTTGGATTTGTTTATCAAAGTGCTCTCTTTATGAAACAGAACCTGTCTGTAAAAAAAAAACCCGAGTAGCTTAAACACTTAGCATACCACCATATCTTAAGATAATGAAAAACTAAAACTTAAAGAAAATCTGGCTGCACAAATAAAAAGAAACTAATGCCTACTGTTCTAGAAAGATCTGACTTACTTTACTTTGGGGTAGCTATAGTCTGTTTGCTAATACTCCATTTATAAAACAATTGCATGAACTAACAAACTGGAGGCTTACACTGATTTAATACAATACAGCCTCGTACATCCTACTCACCTCTACTCAAGAGATACAACTGTTAATGAATTCATTATTACATAGAAAGTTGGCAAAAATATTTTCAACTTTAAAAAGTCATTAAGCCAGATACTAATTAAAGCTGACGGCATGTCAAAAAAGATTCTACAGTAACTGTACATAAGCTGTATAAGATCTTACAGAAAAAAAGGATAAACTTGCTACCCAACTGCAGTTCGGTTATTCCTGCTCCTTTGTTGCCTTCTCAAGGTAATACACATTCACCAAGTGGCGATTGAGGTGCTTACTGTATTCACCTTCTTTTTTAAATGAACGATCACAGAAAATACACACATAGTTCTCCTTTGCAACTGTGGCTTCCGCAGCTTCCTGTGATGCTTTTCTACTGGTTTCTTCCTGTACAGACCGAGCACCGTTTAACCCAGAATCATCACTCCCTTCAGATATGTTGTCACTTATATCACTGCCGTCGTGACTGTGGATGCCTTCGTCCTCATCAATTTCCTGAGATTCGTTTACTGCTGTGTTATCTGGAGATGATAAAGCCAGGGCTTCTTTAGGACCCTGCTCACACTTTTCTGGTGCTGGCAGTGTTGGGGCTGGCTCTTCCGCAGGCAAGTCTGCCTTTGTCAGATCAGCTGAATCTGGATTTGTCACAGGTTCTGTCTCGCAGGCTTGCTCTGGTTCCAACGGAGGTGGAGGTGTCAAGTCTGGAACTGCATCATTTGGCACATCTAGGGTTTTTTCTAGGTTTTGTTCAGATGTGCTGGTACACTCCTCAGGGCAGGTGGCTTGCTCTTGGTCAGGTTCATTCTCAACTTCCTTCTCATTAACAGATTCTTCGTTCTCCTCCTCTGCAACAGGTGCTTCCTGATCTTTCACCTCTAGCTCCACATTTTCCTCCAGAGGCTGTGGGGGAGGGAATACCTGGTCCTGGACAGACTCTCCATCAGGAATCTGGCTTTTTCCATCAGGGATCTGGCTGTCAGCATCAGCCAGGGTTGGAGCAACAGGGTCTTGCTCTGGCTGCTGGTCATCACTAGTACTGTCAGACTTCCTGTTTCCATCCTCTTCCGTGATGGGAGGCTTTTCAGGGGCTGCTTCATCTGGGATCTTTTCCTGATCAGATTTACTGCTTTTTTTGCTATGCTTATTCTTCATAGCCTTCTTTTTCCTGTTTTTCTTAAGGCAAGAGTTTAGCTTTTTAGGTGCCTCTGATGTGACTTCGCCTTTTTGGGCTTCCTGACTGTTTCGTGATTTATTTTCTACCTTCTTTTTCTTTTTTGCTATTGTTTGTGTGTCATTTGCAGGGTCTTGCTTTAAGGAAACTGATTCAACCTCTGCCTTTCTTTTAGTCTTCTTTGTTTTACATGATTTCTCTGCACCTTTCTCGCTTTTAACATCTGCCTCCTTGTTTTCAGCAGCTGATTTACGACTTCTGGTGGTCACCTGACCTACACAAACACTGATGGTTGACTTCTTGTCCTTTGATAAGCTCTCCTTTTTCTCCACTTTTACAGCTTTTTCATTTTTCTTTTCAGCTGACTCGCCTTTTGTTTGTTCTTTTTCTGTCTTGTCCTTGGCACTTTCAGAAAGTTCTGCTTCACTCTTTTTAGTCCGTAGCTTCACTTTGGAAACATCCATTGTGATATCAGAACAATCAGAATGCCTGGATTTTATGTGATACTGCAGGTTGCATTTCTTGGATGCAGCATAATCACAGACGGGACAAAGGAACTGGCGTGGATTGACATGAAGCTCTACGTGCTTTTTGAAGTTACTTCGGTCAGCTGTCTTGTAGTCACAGTGTGGGCAGGTCAGAGGTTTGGGCCCATTGTGAACCTGCCTTGCATGACGAGTTACTTCATGCTGGTTTGAGGCAACATAGCTGCACTGATCACATTTAAATGGCTTCTCACCTGAGGAAGGAAAGGGGGCAGGGGGGTGATTTTGATTAATAAACATGAAAAAACAAACACTTAATGCTATACAGAGATGTGAATTAAAAATAACTTGGCCATGCTTATTTTTGAAAAGCCAATTTAAGAAATTCAAAATCACAATTTTATACTCACAAACACACTCACAAAAACACCAACAACACTACAAAGAAAAGAGAGAAGAAGAAAAAAAAAAAGCAAAAACAAAAAGGTGGCAAGCAGCAAAAAGATTGCACATTCTGTCCGTGGATACATACCCGAAGAGCTCACTCTATAGTAATATTAGCAAATGGAATCCATACCCAACCGGTCCATTGAATGCATAGCAGAAAAATGGAAATTGACAGTTGATGAATAGTAGTTTTATATAAACATTTTCAAAAACAAAGTCCAACTTTACAAAGATTTAGTAAGCTTCATGTGCATTGAAAGTAAAATGGAAGAAAACACATACTTATCCATGTCTAGCCAAGCAATAAAACACACATTAAAAGACAGTTTTCTGAAAATACCCAAACTATTTAGATGTTGATTAAAAATAGCTTTGCATTGACTACAATGTGCAACACTGTATTTCATTTAATGTCTTGATCACTCTTCAGAACAGGAGGCCAATTATTTTCACTGTGCATCTATCCTATTACTAGGGTATTTGTATGTTTGTAGCACTTGTATAATGTTCTAGAAAATACCTTGTCTGCTAAGTCTTATCAGCACAGTTAACTTTACCATTTATATACAGGAGGCAAATGTGTAAAAATATTTAAATGTAACAATTAAAAAGCATTTTGAAAAAAAACCCCAAAATAATTACACTAATAAATAGCTAGGCCTTTGTATTCTGAACTAGCATCCAAAAACGTCTGTGTAATTAAATATATTGGTTACTTACTTCCTACAAGCCTTTCCTACACTATATTTTCACCAGTCATTTGAGGTATCTTGACTTAATGCAAGTCACTCCCAGCTACTGATCCCAACCATAATAAAGGCACAATATCAACAAATCACATGTACACAGTCTGACCTAAGACTCAGCCTCAGGCAGCGGACATGTTAAACACTTGACCCAGAAGGAGCTCCACAAATTAACTGTAGCTCAGAAACACCTTTCTGAGGCATATTTCCCAAAGAAGCCTCCTTTCCTGCCTTGCACTGGGGCTGAAGGCCAATGCAATGTCAGTCTTCTATAACAGGGGTGGACAATTATTTCATCTGGAGGGCTGCTTAATGAGTTTTAGTGAGCTGTTGAGGGCTGCATGGGTAGCCCCACCCCCTGACAGTTGCCCCACCCCCTGGTTGCCATCTTAGGACCAGAAGTCCCATCTCTAACCCCTGACCTTTGCCACCAGAAGTCCCTCCCTTTGCCCAAGAAGTACTCCTTTTGGGAGTGGGGGTTGTCAGCTTGAAAGTGGAAAAAAATAAATCATATACTAAAAAAAAAAAAAATCAAACATCTACTATAATTTATTTTAATTTTATTTAAAACATATTTTGTCCTGATTTATGTTGTTTGCATAGTGTATCTAGAGGTAATTGCATAACAGCTCAAAATACATTCTTACTCTTGTATATTGTGTGTGGGGAGGTAAGGGGGTATATGTGGGGGCTGTGTGGTTGGGGAGTGAGTGTAAGGGTGTGGTGGGATGTGGGGGGTGTGTATGTGGGGCATAGGTATGGTGAGTGGGGTATGTGGGGGAGGGTGGGTGTGAAGGGGTGTGGGTATGGTAGGGGGGGATGTGTGTGGGGGGGCTGTGGGAGGATGTGTTTTGGGGTACGGTGGGGGGTATCAGTGTGTGTGTGGGTATGGTTCTCTCTCTCACTGGTATCCATTCAACAACACTACCAGAGATGGGGAGCTATAATTCCTCCTACTTTCTGCCCACTTGCTTAATAGCAGATAATAAAGGTCATGGCAGCCCCCACTGCAACCACACCCAGACTTAAGATCCAGGTTGTTCTTAAGGACTGAGCAGGATGGTGTTTATAACTTGTACAGCTACACAAGACCCACAGATAATACAGACAATAAAATGTAGCCATGAGGTACAGTGATAAAAACAGGTAGCCATGTGAGAAGATACAATCCTCCCAATGAAGGCTGTTAAATAAAAGGTAAACTTCAAACAGCTGACTACTGTGGAAAAGCCATTGGGCACAGCAGCAAAGGCAATGGTGGAACATGATTCTAATGATATTCATTTTGGAAATGCTTAGTTTCCTTCCACAGGTGAATGTATAATAAAAATCGCAAAGCTAGCTCTATCTATCTACAGCATCCTGCTGACATGCTTGAAGGCTCCTTAGATTTCTAGGTCATCCCTGGAAATTCACTGACTGATGGAGGGCAAGTCAATGTGAGTCAGTCACTGAGGGGCCAGAACTAAAAAGAAGTCTCCCATCCCCTGGACTCTGACATACAGTAAGAAACAACTCCTTCCTGGTGCCAGGGAAAGTCACGCCTGGCTTCTGCCAGGCACTGCAGCTGGAGGGCTAGGGTTACAGTGCTGAGGGAAAGCAAAATAACAGTAACAGCAAGTGACTAACCACCAGCACACCAGCTGATCAAATGCGAGAGGCAAAATTTAGAGAAACAATTCTCAAATCCTCGAACAGCTTCTTCGAACTACACAAGAGGGAGTTATTCTCAACTTGGCTCTGGGCAGCAGAAAGAGGTTGGCTCAAGAAGTAACTGTAATCAGACCACTGAGTAAGAGTTACCAAAATATTAATTCAGCACCACAGCCTCAGGGGACAGTTTACTTTTGTTACCCTTTTCTTTACTTGATCAATTCAAAGTCATTCCTTTCTAGGCACTTCAACCTCTGGAAGTACCTTGTCTGTAGTATTGGACAAAATGTTTGTTTCTTTCAAACATCTGCGATGAGAAGGATAAGGATATTAGAATTTACCTCAGTTCTCAAAGACTCTATCTGCTTTCTAGTAACTTAGCAGACTCGTGGGATCGCTTCAGAGGCCTACTGCTTCTGAAGTGCTTCAGAGATATTTTTGTCTGTTTATATCTTCAGTGCTCTGTTTTTTAAGAACTGTAGCCTTACTAACATCTATCTTAAATTTTACCTACCAGGGTTTCAATTCTGTTCTATTGGCCCACCTGGGTTAAATTTCAGTTTGCAGAAGGATATGGATTTGGCTCTGATAACCTCCAAACAGCTTTATTATTTAATTCATATAATAGTGTGCATCTTGAGAGGAGACTGTTCACATGCTTTGGGTTTTTTGTGCTTTTTAATTTCTGTCTTTAGAGGGCTATATTTTTCCCTGTTATTGTTTCACAGCACTAAATAGATTCCCACCCTGAGGCTAAGAATTCCCCCACTTCCAACTTGAGAATCTTATCATCATCATCATCCTCATCAGTGGTGCCTTGGGACAGCAACCGTAGGTCAATGCTTTTTTATTTTTTTTTAATATTGTCATCATTTTTTTCTCTCCCCTTATCCTTTATCATCCATACAAAATTAATATCACAGTACTAGTACTAGTTCTGGTGACAGAATCCCTATGCTCAGGAAACTGCACATAATGGTCACTAACTATTCCCAGTGTTTAAGGATCTGAGAGATTGCTTCTTGTGCCATGTCATAGCATGACTTACAACCAGGTATGTGAAAATAATTGAAGCCTATTGCTGGTTTAATACATTTGGTTGTGTTTTATCTCCCTAAACACTGGATGATTAGAACATTTTTCTCTCATTTGAAGGATGTGGTAACATAATCTTATTCTCATATTTATATTCCTCTGTTTTAGGATTTGGATCCTGCTCTTCTTATGGAGGCTAAAATCAAAAAGAAACCAATACCAGGTTTGGGCAACATTTTTTTCAACAAATATTTTATGCACCACAGCATGGATGAACCAATCAAAACAATTCCTGAATGTTCCCCAAATTCAAATAACTTTGTCCAAAACAGATTAGATTAAGATCATTTTAAGATTAAAATATTTTAAAAATTCAAAACACTTCATTCTGATAATTTCATTTTGAAATGTTAACCATCTTGAAAAGGTTATAAGTGTCCATAAATTACAAAAAAACCCCAACATTTTAGGTCCAACCAAAAGTTTCATTTGACCCAAAAAGCAATCTAAACATTTAGTTTAGAATAGAATGAAATGTTCTGATTTCACTTGAAACCACTTTGTTTTTTTAGTTTTGTCAAGAAAGGAGCAAACCAAAATAAAACATCAGCTAGTTCACAGAACTACAGGAAAGTAGGGCTGGAACAGACCTCGGGAGGTCATTTAGTCCAGGCAGGAATCATCGCTGACTAAACCATCCTAGACAGGGATTTTTCTAACCTGCTCTTAAAAATTTCCAAGATGGAGATTCCACAACCTCTCTGAGTAACCTGTTCCAGTGTTTAACTAGCCTTAAAAAGGAGAAAGTTCTTTCTAATATCCAACTTAAATTTCTCTTGCATCACTCTAGTTAACATAGGTTCTAACAGAATAAGTTGTGTGGGTAAAGCTCCACTGCGGTTTTCTATTACGCTTTTGGCTATTATCTCAATACAACAACAGCCATGTAACAGAGATATTACCACTTAATTCAAGCAGGATTTGAAAGAGACCAGTTCACAAGTATAAAAAGTTTCTGAGAATGCAAACATGACTTTGCCAACAAACAGTGGATTGAAATGAATATTAATGAAGATTGCCAACTTGTTTGTTAGCCCTACAAAAAATATGTGTAATCATTCCAAGGGATTACTGGCTTTTCTTTTTGCAAGACTGTAAATCAGGGGTGTCAAACATCTGGCCCATGGGCTGGATCTGGCCCACAGAACCAGGTCCTCCAGCCCGCAGCTATAATTGAGGACTTTTCCTGGGCAGCAACCAAGTGCCTAGGTAAGACCCACAGTGCTGGAAGGAGCCCCAGGAGCCCTGCAGCATGTTCCCATGGCAGCAACCAAGAGCCCCCAATGCTGGGCTTCTTCCTGCAATGTTGCTGGGGCTCCAGGACTGCTGCTTTCGCCCGGGTGCTTGGCACCTAAGCCAGCAAGAGCTGCAGTGCTAGAGCCCCAGCAATACCACAGGGTGAAACCTGGCATTTCAACTTATTTCTGTGGCTGTAGCCAAGTGCCCAGATGAGACCTACAGACCTGGTGGCCTGGCAGCACCATAGAAAGAAGCCTACCATCGTGGGTGCTTGGTTGCCACCATGGGTAAAATCCTCAGTGTCAAGCTTTTCCCAACAGCACTGATGGGGATCCAGTGCTGGAGATCTTGCCTGGGTGCTTGGCTGCAGCCACAGAAACAAGCTGCTGTGTCAGGGTTCCTCCCACAGTACTGTAGGACTCTGGTGGCGTAACTCTCACCTGGGCATTTGGTTGTATTGTGGGAAGAAGCTTCTGGGCTGCTGGGCCTCCAGCACCCCCTGGCTTGGCTGCCATGCACCCAGGCAAGAGCAGCAACACTGGAGTCACAGCAACACTGTGGAAAGCCCAGCATCTCAACTTGTTGCTGCAGCAGCAAAATGCCCAGGATGCCAGGTGTCTTTTCACCAGGTCCTGGACTGGCTGGAGCAGGTGCCACATACTTTGAATATGGCATGGGGGGTCCACAGGCATGATCTGACCCACAGGCCGGCCCTGCACAATTCATCTGACCTACAGACTGGTCCCACACCACTGATCCAGCCCTCAGGGCCAGATGAGTTACACACCCCTGACATACATAAACAGTATCTTCATACAGTAAGTGAGAGCAACTTTGATAGTTTTATGTTAAACCCTTAAAAAAACAGTTAACTGCTTTCTTTGAATTCCAGAAAGAAAACTACATATTGGACCTCATGGCCTAGATCCTGAGATGCCGTAAACTATCATCGCTTCACTGATCTGCTCTCACATCCTTCATCATCATGTTCCTGTGCTTACATGTCACTTTATAAAGTACAACAGACAAAAAGTAGTTTGTCAAACTTTGGATTATATCTTGGAAAGCAAGGGGAAAAAAAGTCTACTCCTCCACTGTGACTTAAGTAGTCATGTTCTGCACTTGCCCAGCCCACTCTGTCTACATCAAATTACTTTACAAATAAGGGATTAGGCTTGCCAGCACCTCCTTTAAGCTTGGCATTTTGCTGTCAGCTATGGTGATGGACAGCTGTAATGCAGTGTCTTGTTCTGAAATACCAATTCACTGCAACGCAAATACTTGTAACCTTGTTTTCCCCATCCCAAAGACAGCTTTTTTTATATATGATTTCAATGTAAAAAAATTGACCTAAACTTCCTTGTCTAACCTAAAATGTTTCTACAGAACAAGGCATTAAATAAAAAATAATAACAACAACAGTAATAATTTGTATCTGCAGCCAAATTAGCCAAAACTAATTCCAAATCCAAGCGTCCAGAACCATAAGTGGCACTACTACCAGCAAACATCCTCTACCTGCACCTGGGGCTTCAGATGTTTCCAAAACCTTTGGTGGGCATCCTAATTGCGGGCTCCAGGCTTGGGGTTCGGATGCCCCCGAGTGTTGCTTGCCCTTAGCCATAAGGCCTTCGGAACAAGCAAGGGAGGAGACTCCCATTTCCATAAACTGGGCTTAAAGCTGCTGTGCCTCGGCAGGTACTGAACCACGTCAGAAGAGCGGGTCTCCCAGGATGCGGTTCAGGAAAACTGCCTTCTTGGACACAGATACATGGTATTTTCCCTGCCAGGTTAAAAAGCCACTACGCTTGTCCTGAGCCTTCAAGAGGCCAAGAAGCGATCTTAGCCCATAAAAGGCATTAATACTCTTTGCATGTCTGAAGTCTGCACAAAATGGAAAGTGGAATAAGAACAACAGAGAATTTGAGAAAAACTGCTCAGTCACATGACCTAATGCTGCCCACCTCAAATAGAAGACTTTATCTGAGGTGGGAGGTACTTTTTTTTGTCAATGCTACCTGTTAGAACCTCACAAGATTAACAAGTGGCTAACTAAAAGGCTAGATAATTTTAATGAGCATAGTCTAAGCTTGGGCAGCAGTAAATACATCTACTAAATATATTACAAGCAAGAAAACTTGAAATATCACTAACTTTTCCCCATGTTATTATTGTGAGATTGCCTTTTTACCAACCTGAATGAGTACGCATGTGCCTGGTTAAATGGGTCTTCTGAGAACTTGAATAGGGACACATAGCACATTGATAGGGACGCTCCCCTGTAAAAAACAAACAGAGTTAGAAACAAAACATGGCAGAAAATCTTAGGATATCAAATCTTAGCATCTGAAGAAGTTAAGTCTCTAAGGCAGGGGGGTTATCAACCTTTTCAGACACAAGGCACCCCTCCATAACATTTCTAAATTGAGCAGCACCCTATTTCAAAAACTATTTATTACACAGCAATTCTTCTGTTACAAAGAACTCAGAAAAATCACAATTGGTCAGAATTTTTTTGACACTGTAAGAACTTAAGAATTATGGATTCTTATTTGAAATCTCTGGGTTTATCTTGTGAATCATGTATAGGTGTTTGCATGCCTAACACTGCCAATACTTTCCTGCACTCCACAGCACCCTCAGAAGTATCTCATGATGCCCTTGCTTAGACTCACTGATCAAAAGTGCTTCCCTCCCCTGACTTCTATCAAACTTTGTCTACCACACCAAAAGAAAGCCCTTACTGCACCTAGGCACCATGTACTAAGACCCAAATTATCATTTGAGGACTGAGGAAACAGTAGGATGTGTGATTTCTGGGCATAAAGTGACTTCTTACCTTATCTGAAGTTAACCATGTAATAGCAAAGTAAAGTTTGATGATGGTGGGGTGCAGTACTTATTCTAGAATAAGCCCATGTACAGACAAACTCTAACACAAGGTAAGACAGTAGGTTTGCTCTATACTTAAAAAGATGAGCTGATGTAGTTATATCAGTCAGAAGGGAAAAAAAAACAACGCTACCCCTCACCTACATGACTACACAGCCTCCACTAATGCATTTGCTGATATGGTTTTACCAATACAGTGACCCAACAAATACTTCTAAGCCTAGACAAGTCCCAAGTGAGGAGACAGCAGCTTTTAGTATTCACATGTGCTAGACAGGTTGAGACAAATCCTTTGCTGCCAACTGGTACTTATCCTGACCTCTTATTGCACATGAAATGCCAAGGTAAACATTCAATGACATTAAAACACACATCTATATTCTTGCTGCAGAAGCACCCAGTGGGGAGGAGACTGGAGGGGGGAAGGAGAGGAACTTAACTGCTTAGTATTAGAGTCAAGATTCCTACAGAATCACAAAAGCAAGACCAGTTTTATATGCAGCATGAAAGACCCTGGACTCCCAATCGGGTAGCTACGTCCACATAACCCCCGGTGCAAATGTGACTTATGCTAGTAAAAGAGTCTTTTGTCAATGTAACTCATACTGAACATTAAGCCAGCAACAAAACTTCTTCCACCATGGTCAATTGTGTCTCCATTCTTTGTCAAGAGAGTGACACAAGCAATGCCTTTTGTACTGTCGACTAGCTCTAAATTTCTTCCTCCAACCAACCCAGTTATCCAACCACTGTTCATTAGATCAGCAGCCAAAAGGTAAATTCACGCCTGCAACACTGTAATCCCCCTCCCACTTAAAACAATGGGAGATTGTTGCCAGAGGCATAATGAAATTAAGTCACCTATAAAAAGAGGGGTGGGTCTTAGGTTGTAAAGTGGTGTTTTTAAATGCTTCTTTACAACCTGAAAGTATAGGATCAAAGGTTCTAGCCTGTCTAGGTAACTGTTTAGCAGTGCTTCATTTTTTCACATTC